CCAAGTCTATAATAAGAGTGTCTGAATCCCAGTCGAGTCCCATATTCTCGAGAAAACTCTTGTGATTACTATAGGGACTAAGTGCTGACGTATCGAAAGGTGTCACTTTGAACAAGTCCAATCTTACGACAATTGGCCTGTTATCCTTTAAGAATATAATACACATTAATTTATTTACCGTAATACTGTATTCCCAAATTGGGATTCCCAATATTAAATATAATATTCAATATTTCGAAATAACAATAAAATGCTCACGGCAATTGTGTTCCAAGATTGCTCTTCGAAATTAAAACACAAAAACGTCCGCAATATATTCACCTCAACGGCAGCGTGTTTTATTAAAATCATTTGATCATGCTCACATAAAGTCTTAAATGCTGTCAAACATTTAGACATTTTAATTATTTTTCGCAGTTCACTCTCATGTCTTTGAAATAATATATCAATAGCTGCTATAAATGAGTCGACAATAACTCGTTGTTCAGTAGTGGTCACAGGAATCTGAAAAATCTTGAGGGCATCCAATAATTCATTCAATTTATTGCCCTCTAATTCATTGTAGTTATTGCTGTAATCAGTGATGGGTCTCGTAATAGGTATGACTGATTGATCCAAATCACAAGTATTTGTATTGATTAAAAAGTTGTCAAAACTTTTATCTATTGACACGTCCGTAGAGGTCTGACTTTCATCATAACAGATGTCATCCATAATAATATCATCGGATGTTTCCAGTGATGGACTGGGAGTTGAAGAAACACTTTCATTACTAGATTCTATCGTTTGGTTAACCTTTCGTTTCTTATTGCCTTCAATAATAGATTTTCTCAATTGTTTTTGTTCATCCGGATAAAATAAGTTCTGTTCACAAATTAAATACAATTATCTATTTATAATAATTATATTAACTTATATTAGGTCTACATTTTACTTACAGTTTTCATACCGACTGCAAAACACTTATCTAACCGACATTTCTTACATTTAATTCTGTTGTCAAGATCTATTTTGCAATTTCCACCCAGGTAGCATGCATACTTATTCTAAAAGAGTAACGTATAATATTTAATATTATAGAAATTCATATATTATTTTAAAATGACCTCATTTTTCAGGGCATTCCTACGGAAGAATGATTTACACGATTCGCAAGTCTGTGCATCGAAATGATTGCCTATTCACCACAAATTGACAATTATTTTTCAATATAACAAATGTATAAATTTTTGTACAATTTAAATTTATTATACATTATATTGCATAATATACAGGGCGGCCAGAATATGGCTATACTACTTTGATTTCAATTAATTTAAATACCGTTTTATTTACTTAATTCATTATTTTCAATAAAAGTATTTGATTTTGAATTAATATTCATTTATAGAGAATAAAATAA